GGGGGGGGGGGGGGGGCATGCCCCCCTAAATGAGTTATTGTGCCCCCCCCTCTCCCATCAGTCTGCAGGCCAAACCTTTGGTGCCAAGCTTTCGTTTTATTAATTAATTTATATTCATCATATTAAAAGAGAAAACCCTTTCGCAAAACGAAATGAATTAAAAACAAAAATAATAATAATAAAAAAAACACACCCTATTGGTCATATTTGCATAAGGTCACATTTGCGGAAGTAGCATGCTCATTGGTCTGGTGTTTGACCTATGACCTAATAGTGTGACTTGTTGTCATTACGTCCGGATGAGCGCGTAACGCATAGTGAGCAAGTCCGACTGAGCTTAGAGCTAATACGCTTCAGAAAGAATTAGCTACTACGAGACTGCACATTGGACAGAAATGGATATAAGAAAATAGCTGTTTAGCGCCAGCCAGAGGTCTCGGATTCTGGATGCCTTTGTGAGTATGGACTTAGTAACTGGAAAAACTGGAAAGAGATCGGGGATTTTATAAACACGAATCTTCAAAGGAGCATATCTCTTGCTATACGCTGTGGATGGAGCGGGACAGGCATGTCAGTACTGGAAAGCAGATTTCAACATCAACGAAGCCCAATTGCAAAAGAATAGGTATTATGTTTCCTCTCTCATCTATGTTGTCGGATTTCTGGCGGAAAACCAGTTGCATTTATGAGGGAAGGTAGAGGCTTCTGAACATGTCTGAGGGGGGAGTGGACTTTTCCGCTCTTTACTGGACTATACAGTTAAAAAGGAACCCTGACTGATGTTGCGAAAATGATCCCTCAAAACGCCATGTACACCTGTCATGCAAAATGAATTCATAAGTACACAGAGCTGTGTGGTGACAGAGGCTGCAGTGGAGGAAGTAAGCGACTCCTATTACACTTTGAAAGTAGATGGAACTCGTGACCCCTCCGGAAGTGAGAATATATCGATTGTCATTTGATTTGTAAAGGAGTCCTATGAGGTCACAGATCGTCTGCTAACCATAGCAACAGTTGGCAAAGGTAATGCACAGACATTAAGAGACACCGTTTTTGGCAGAGCTAAATGGAGTTGGACTGGACACATCAAAGATTCTAAGCCAGGTCTATGATGGGGCTGCTCTGATGTCTGGGAAGCATGGTGGTGTCCAGAAGATACTGCAAGACAAACTAGGTTGTGGGATACCTTATGTACACTGTCTTAACCACCAGCTACACTTAGTGGTAGTACACGTGATGTCAGCAGAGACAGCTGTAGTGGACTTTTTTGATGTGTGTAATGCCCTCTACAAATTCTACAAGGAGCCGACTATAAGGGTATGCATCTTAAACACCCTCTGGAACAGAGATGGACGGGACATCTCTCCATTGTGTCAGTCATTCTAAAATCCTTCAATGACATAACATCTCTTTTGACTGAGATTAACTCTGTGCTGGCCTATGGTGCAGAGATCCAAATGGAGGCTGTAGGCCTGCCGCAAGAGATGACCGAGTCCAGTCCAGTCCAACTTGATGACAGGTTTAAGTACTGTGGCTAGTGCAACAGCTTGTGACATGGGATCCCCAAATGGTGACGCAAAGCAATCACAAATATAGATGAGTATGTCGTTGTTGGAACTACAGGACACAGGGACGATGGCGAAAAAACACAGACTGTGAGATGGATCACAGATTCAGCGAGCGCAACTCACGGTTGGCCAGTGCACTTGTTGCACTGAATCCAGAAAGTGACACATTTCTTGATGTGAAGGCTGTGAAGCATATTATTGACCTGTCACAATCGCTTATAATTAAGACAGAGTACAAAGTTGCTAAACAGT